CAGGAGCCGGAAGGTATTCGCCTCACGGCCTGGCTGGCACCGCTTGGAGCATGACACTCATGACACCTCTGCTCCTCTCCGTTCCTGCAGCTTCATTGACACCATGGGCTACGGCTATCTATCGCTCGGCATCTCAGCTGGCAGCATCAGCGCCATTCACGCGAGATCCACGCGATGGATTTGCCATATTGGCTCTGTCGGCGACATCTGTGCAGAGCGGAGTTCAGACAGGTTCAACGGGGAGGCATCACGGGGCTTCACATGTACTATAGTACTCTAGTCCAAACTCCTTAGAGGGGGATTATATAGGGGAGTACATAGGGGATTATTATTATGGTTACCAAGGGGGATACTAGGAGTTTAGACTAAAAAAGTCCAAAGTCAGCCCCAGCCTCATCAGGTGGCACAAGCAGCTTCCAGGATTTCAACAGCCGAAAGTGCTCCTTGGAGTGTTCTAGACTCGACATCATTCCACACTTGACGAGCAGCACAGAGGTGTGTGCACAGCATCTCCCATCACAATCTCAAATATTTCCCAACTCAGGCTGAGGATCGACTACCCCCATCCCAAGTGTCGCTGCTGGGCAGCTGAGCTGGTTGGCAGCCCAGTGCTGCCTGCAATCCGTGCAGCAAAGGCAGATGCCCGCGGCGCTTGAAGGGACAGAGGTATTTCCAGGTGGTTTGGGGTTGTAGGGTTGTAGGGTTCTGGACTCATCCGCTGCAAGCTTGGGAAAGAGATCAACCCACATGTGTGGAGGTGGACCCCTGCTCGAAAAAAGACAAACCCTAAAGTGCTTCAGAAGCAAAGAAAAGCCCTGAGTTCTTCATGGTCTTCTACCACAACCTGCGCCGCGGCACGCAGCTGGTAAGGCTCGGTTTTCAGAGCATGCATCAGGGTAACTAGGTGAGCATAAAGAAAAGTAGAGGAGAACTTCAAGAACTTGAGCTCTGAGGGTAACTTGAGTTTTGGAGAACTATTGTATATGCATAGCTAGATGGATGGATAGCGGGATGCATGGGGTTTCTTGGAACCACAGGTAGTCTTGGGAGGGATGTGCAATAAGACGCACGCATCCTCCAGGAATTTGGATGCTGGTCCTGGATGTTGCACCCTCAGTATGCGGGTTCGGTTGAAGCAGTGGCTCTGTTCGCTCCTGCGACCTGTTTAGGCCATCTCCATGTCTAGGCGTAGCTTTTGTTGCAGGATTTGCCAGTTGTTTGAAGCCTTGGGACGTGAGTTGTTTCAGGCATGAATCATAGGGAGCACTGGCAAAGGGCAACTGATGGCTGAGTAAAGACGCCGACACAAGCCTTAGATGACTTAGACGGACGCTGCCCTCTTGCGGGCTGGCGAAAGTTAGCCTATCCTATGCCCTTTCTGGTACGTACGCATGGCAGGACTGCATCTGCAAAATCAGTAATCCCGCGACAGGACGTGATCCAATGTTTCGTGCACTTGGGTGAGCACAAGGCTTCCCTCTTGAGAACGTGTGTCACAGAGCGTCAGAGGGATTCAGGTGCAGAGTGATGTCACAGATGGCCTTTGCTTTCATGTTCCTATCTTGGAGTTAACCGAGCCTCAGTCTGGGCATGCGCCTGAATCCACAATTGTGCCATGCCCTCTAGCTTTACCGATGTCAGTTCACCCCTTCCCCCACTGAATACTGAGACACGCGTTTTTGTTGCCATGCATCCCAGATGCTTTTGCATGGTCCAGGCTAAACGCAGTAAACAAAGCCGCTACCATCAGAATCGTCCTTCTTCGGCCCTGTCGGCCACCTTGTATCTAAAGTGCAGGAGCCATCCAATTTCTCTGCTTTGGCTTTTCAAGCGAAGTTGCGCCTGCCACCTTGCGAGAGGGCTCCAAGCCAGAGCCGTGTGAATTCTTGGTCTCCCTCCATATACAGCTTTTTCAGAATGCTCAGAAATACGTAAGACCCTTGAGCCATCCAACACTGCACTCAAGCAGAGAAGGCCGAAGCAAGCTGAAACATTTTGAATCACTTTAGCATCCTCACAGACAGGTGTCTGTTCTGGCAGCTGCGTGCGGCACTTGGCATGTGGATGGATATGTACTTGGCTTTTGCTGCCCACCATGCCCGCCTGTTATCATGGTTTAGGCTCTGGAATTCGAAGTGCAGGTAGTATAGCAATGACGCTAGCGAACTCATGTTTTTCCTCTTTTCCGCGCGCGCTGGCTTGCCGGTGGTTGTACATAAGGGGTTCCAGTACATGAGTTGCTAGGCCTCCTTTGCATTTCCGGTACTGCCCAAATTGACTTTAATGGTCCCCAGAGATACTGGAACACAACTGGGCAAGGCTTGCTCTTTGGGATTTAGCAGCCGTTAGCATTGAGGGACACAGCTTGGATCGTTTGGAGTATCACCAGATTCAAGGGCTGCAGGACTTTGTAAACCCCTGCATGTAAGACTCGACACTGCTTCCGCAGTTTTGGTCCATGAGGGTCGTACAGACAAGAAACACTTGAGATTTCCAAGGATCAGGGGTCCACATCCGGTAGCCCGTGTACAAAGGCTTGGAATATTTTCAGGGCACAGGAAAAGGACCCAGTTTCGGAAATCTCCACTTATGTGCAACTTGTGCAGCGTCCCGATTGTGGATGGTCTGGTCCAACTACCCTCTACCTGCAACCCCCTAAACCCTAAACCCCTCTCTGGTCCGAAGCTCACGCAACATGGATGACATCGGTCGGGAGTCTTATCGCCGAGATCGTCTTTCTCATTATTCAGTGCAGTATTCAGTTGCCGTTGCCGTTGGTGCTGAAGACTCTGACTCTGGAGACTTGTTCCAATATGGCCCTGCTACGTTCATTTGGAACAACAGGCCGTGAGGGGGGGGGGAGGAATTGCAAGTTCTCAGTCCATGCTTCTGAGTACCCATGCAGCTTGGATGTTTGCAAGTGTCGTGTTTGTAGATTCTGGGAAGGAGATGCCACGGTGGCAAGTTTCATGTGGATGTCCTGAACGGTAATGACGATGATGTCATCACACAGCTGGACGAAGCATCTGCGAGGTTGGATGATCGATTTGGCTACACTATGAGGTATCACAGCAAGGTACAACGATGCACTGGCAATGCCATTCATCTCGCAGTAAGCCGTGGCCACCTGTCGACGGTGCAGCTACTCTTGGAACGGCGTGCCAGCATCGACAGCATGACCCAGCGGGATCATGAGGACCACTACGACGTGATCCATGCGGCCGTGTTCCGAGAGGGCCGTGGAGGCTGCACTGACATGATCAATTACCTGTGCAGCCAGTGTGCGAACATTGAGAGCGTGAACGCCAACGGTCATTCATGCTTGCATTTGGCTTTCCAGACAGGTAACGTTGAGACGATACGTGTTGTTCAGCAGGCCTGTCGAATGGGGCATGCGGTGCAAAATGAGCAAGACGCTGACGTCAATTTCGACTGGCCGCATCGGCTGCAGACCCCTCTGGAACGTGGAATACAATTTGGCAAGTTAAGCGCCCAAGCCTTGGCTGAACTGGCCCCCATCAATGGCAGCAGCCTCCGGACTTTCATACATTATGCTCCCGAGTGCATCCCAATGTTCATGAGCTGCGCCTTGGAAAAACAGCAGTCTGGGGGCCGAGTGATGCAGCTCATGGCACAACAGCTGACTTCCAAAGAACTCGCGCAGCTTGTGCGTGACAGACCTGAAGTTGCTTCAACGTTGCTGAACATCCTCTCAGCCACACCAGAGACCATGGGCAGTGGGCCAGCTGGAGATGAGGGCTGGCACCCGCTTCCGCAGAGAGTTTCATTTGCGAGCAGGAATAGTGGCCTTCGCCTTCTTCAGTACACAAATCGCCGACTGGTCTTCTATGAGTCGGACAGTGATTGGCTTTTTGATGCCGATTCGCGGGAAGCCCCCGATTGGCACCGCAAGATCATCAGCGTCAAGTATCCCCCCATGCTGGAGGCTTCCTTCTCGGTTTGCTATGTACCGAACCTTATCTCGCCCGCCTTCTTCTCAGCTCTCTGCTCTCACGCTGGGGGTCCCGCTGCTGAAAGTGTTTTCGGTTGCAAGCCCATACAAGCTGCAGTTTCATTCGCCTTCTCGAATGGCCCAGTTTTGACAGATTCTTTGCAGTTTAATGCTGCTTGCTGGGGACTGTTTCTTCTAGTCCTGGAAACTATTTCCAGACATGAGCTGTCTGTGGAAAGTGACAAGAGAAATTTCGATGTCCAGATGAATGAGGGAGTCTTTGGCCCAAGCTTTTTGGCAGAGGATCAACGTTGTAATATCCATTTGAATGAGGGCTTAGGCCTACCGAGACTTTGCAGCGGGGTTGTTGCCGACTGGATCATTGCTAAAGGCATCGTAGATTTGGTCCTGGAGGCCTTTCAACTGTATGGATGCGCCGCCACGTTTCAGGTTTCAAGCTATTTCACTGCTGACAACTTGTGGGACCTCATTCGCAGCATTCTCCCACTTGCATTGGTTGTTGGCTATCAGAATCGGCTGCTGCACCTTCTCATCGTGCTGATCTACTGGATGCGGCTTTGGGAGGGACTTGTTTTGTATGAAGGCTTTGGACCCGCTCTTCTTCCTTTTCAGCAGCTTCTGAACCCTTGCTGAATTGGCATTGCATGTTCTTGCTCTTGCGGTTTCCTGCACACAAGAGGCGCCCGGTTCAACTTTTTTGCAAATATTGATCACATCAGCCTAGCAAGACAGCTTAGGAAGGGGCTTCTTCCGGCTTTGATGTTCACTATCATTTGCTTTGCTGCGCTTACGCATGCAATGTATACGGTGCAAGTGAGCCCAAGCTACCTTTGGCCGGAAACCATTTACGATGTTTTCACCAAGCTGATTGTGCAGGGTCTGCCTGAGCAGCTACCAGAGGACCGGTTGGAGCTCATGCTGTTGTATGGAGGCGTGCTGTTCTTTTCCATCTTTGTCCTGAACATCTTTATTGGCGTCATTGGGGAGCAGTACTCAAACGAAAGAGACCTGTCAACTCAGAAGTTCCTGGGCCTGCGGGCTTCCTCATGCTTGACATTCATGTTGCGAGCTTCAGTGATTCCCTGTAACCTTTGTAGCTCAGTGACAGCGGGGATACTGGGTTGCACGTGTACAGTTGCTGCCTTGCTGCTGCAGATATCGGCAGTTGCAAAAGGATGGCAGCTGCCTGGCATTGTGCAGTTCCAGGCGTTTCTAGCTTGTCAGATGACAATCTGTCTTTGTGCCTTTCAGTGCCGTGGAATGCCATGGCCCTCGTTGCCCACAACTATGGGCTACATGGCGCTGCACCCTTCAGCAAGATCCTCCGACCGGCGAAGGTGGGCAGTTGTCAAAGTTATGGTCCCTTTTTGGGTACCCTAAGAAATTAGGTGCCGTACTATAATGGGGACCCCAAAGGGACCATAATTTTGACAACCACCCAGGTACCTATGGATCATTGAGCCTCGCCAGGACCGTGAGCTTCCCAGGTCGCTGGGAGGTCAGTCAGGTCCCCATCATGAAGCTGGGTTGCTGTTAAGGAACTCAAATTCAGTTACCATAATGGGTATATATAGTAAGTAATAGGGTTTCCCCAATGTAGTAACTTAAACTGAGTTCCTTAACAGCAACCCAGTTTTTTCGAGCAGACTCGCTTGTCTTGTCCTGCCGGGCCTTA